AGATTTTAAGTGATAAATCATTTTTGCACAATCTTTGTTCCAGAAGAAGTAACTTTAGAGCTTTAACACTTTGCATGAATTCCAATAATTGATCATCGCAGAGGAGCATTTCGGGTTTATAATTGTTCAGGTCCATAAGAGGTATTCAAGTACGAGATTTGAAACGGTTAAATTGTTTTTTGCACAATGTATGTTTTTAATTTTGCATGTTCTAGAAGAAGTAACTAGAGCTTTAAGGCTTTGCATGAATTCCAATCATTGACCATCACACGGGAGCTGTTGGATGTGGAGGAGTCCTGAGATCAGGAGGTCCTAGATCTTAAGTGGTTAAATTGTTTTTTGCACAATGTATGTTTTCATTTTGCAAGTTCTAGAAGAGGTAACTTTCGAACTTCAGGGCTTTGCATCAATTCATAAATTTGATCATCACATGGGAGCATTTATTTTCACCCGTTTGGTGGGGAGGTGTCCTGAAATTTGGAGGTACAAGATTTTAAGTGGTTAAATCGTGTTTTACACAATGTTTGTTTTCAATGTTGCCAGTTCTAGAAGAAGTAGCCTCAGAGCTTTAACGTTTTGCATGCATTCAAATATTTGACCATCACAAGGGAGCATTTATTTTCACCCGTTGGGTGGGGAGGTGTCCCGAAATTGGAGGGTACAAGATTGTAAGTGGTTAAATTAGTTTTGCATGTTCTAGAAGAAATAACTTTAGAGCTTTAAGGCTTTGCATGAATTCAGATGGTCATCCGTGACAAGAGAGCATTTATTTTCACCTGTAGAGTCAGGAGGTGTCCCGATATCAGGAGATACGAGATTTTAAGTGATAAATCATTTTTGCACAATCTTTGTTCCAGAAGAAGTAACTTTAGAGCTTTAACACTTTGCATGAATTCCAATAATTGATCATCGCAGAGGAGCATTTCGGGTTTATAATTGTTCAGGTCCATAAAGGTATTCAAGTACGAGATTTGAAACGGTTAAATCGTTTTTTGCACAATGTATGTTTTTAATTTTGCATGTTCTAGAAGAAGTAACTAGAGCTTTAAGGCTTTGCATGAATTCCAATCATTGACCATCACACGGGAGCTGTTGGATGTGGAGGAGTCCTGAGATCAGGAGGTCCTAGATCTTAAGTGGTTAAATTGTTTTTTGCACAATGTATGTTTTCATTTTGCAAGTTCTAGAAGAGGTAACTTTCGAACTTCAGGGCTTTGCATCAATTCATAAATTTGATCATCACAAGGGAGCATTTATTTTCACCCGTTTGGTGGGGAGGTGTCCTGAAATTTGGAGGTACAAGATTTTAAGTGGTTAAATCGTTTTTACACAATGTTTGTTTTCAATGTTGCAAGTTCTACAAGAAGTAGCCTCAGAGCTTTAACATTTTGCATGCATTCAAATATTTGACCATCACAAGGGACATTTATTTTCACCCGTTGGGTGGGGAGGTGTCCCGAAATCTGGAGGTACAAGATTGTAAGTGGTTAAATCAGTTTTGCATGCATGTTCTAGAAGAAATAACTTTAGAGCTTTAAGGCTTTGCATGAATTCAGATGTTCAACCGTGACACGGGAGCATTTGTTTTCACCTGTTGAGTCAAGAGGTGTCCCGATATCGGGAGATACGAGATTTTAAGTGATAAATCATTTTTGCACAATCTTTGTTCCAGAAGAAGTAACTTTAGAGCTTTAACACTTTGCATGAATTCCAATAATTGATCATCACAGAGGAGCATTTCGGGTTTTTTCCCCCTAAAACAATGCATGCATTTCTTTGTTCTCTATGGTAATAATGAGGAAATTATTAATAAACAAGCCTATAGTGGACATGTGATCATTGTTCTGGTCCATAAGAGGTATTCAAGTACAAGCTTTGAAATGGTTAAATCATTTTTTGCACAATGTATTTTTTTAGTTTAGCAAGTTCTGGAAGAGGTAACTAAAGATTTAATACTTTGAATGAATTCCAATCATTGACCATCACACGGGAGCTGTTGGATGGGGAGGAGTCCTGAGATCGGTAGGTCCTAGATCTTAAGTGGTTAAATCGTTTTTTGCACAATGTATGTTTTTAATTTTGCATCTTCTAGAAGAGGTAACTTTAGAGCTTTAGGGCTTTGCATGAATTCAAAATATTTGACCATCACACGGAAGCATTTATTTTCACCCGGTGGGTGGGGAGGTGTCCCGAAATTTGGAGGTACGAGATTTTTATGTGGTTAAATCAATGTTGCGCAATGTTAGTTTTCAGTTTTGCATGTTTCTAGAAAGAATAACTTTAGAGCTTTAAGGCTTTGCATGAATTCAGATGGTCAGCCGTGACACGGGAGCATTTGTTTTCACCTGTTGAGTCAAGAGGTGTCCCGATATTGGGAGGTACAAGATTTTAAGTGATAAATCATTTTTGCACAATGTTTTTTCCAGAAGAAGTAGCATTAGAGCTTTAACACTTTGCATGAATTCCAATAATTGACCATCACAGAGGAGCATTTTGGTTTTTTTCCCCCTAAAACAATGCATGCATTACTTTGTTCTCTATGGTAATAATGAGGAAATTATTAATAAACAAGCCTATAGTGGACATGAAATCATTGTTCAGGCCCATAAGAGGTATTCAGGTACGAGCTTTGAAATGGTTAAATCATTTTTTGCACAGTGTATTTTTTTAGTTTTGCATGTTTTTGCTAGAGGAGGTAACTAGAGCTTTAAGTGGTTAAATCGGTTTTGAAATGCATGAATTCCAATCATTGACCATCACACGGGAGTTGTTGGATGGGGAGGTGTCCTGAGATCGGGAGGTCCTAGATCTTAAGTGGTTAAATCATTTTTTGCACAATGTATGCTTTTCATTTTGCATGCTGTAGAAGAAGTAACTTTTAGAGCTTGGGGGCTTTGCATGAATTCAAATCATTGGCCATCACACGGGAGCATTTGTTTTTCACCTGTTGGATGGGGAAGTGAAGCTTCTCAAGCACATCTACCATCTGTTCTCCAGCTACAACTACAAAGCTGTTTTACAGATATTTGGCTGCTGGACTGACAACATCCAGGCTCACAATTCCTCGGTGACTCGGCCAGACAAAGTTCTGGCACAGAACGGCCACAGGGTTCCAACATTTAAGGAAATTGTTACAAATTCAATCTGGGCTCTAAATTTTAAAACGCAAAGAAGGGTGTTTTGTACAGTAAGTGTGCCATGATGAATCCCGGAGATCCCACACAAAGCCATTTGCCTTTTTTGATCATTTTAGTCCTGGAGATGAGCACCAGCATGTTGATGAACGTTTTTATTGTCCTCGCAGTGTATCACGATTTTACCAAAATGAAAAAATTGAGCAGCAGCTACAAAATTGTGGTTTGTTTGGCCATCTCCAATGTGTGCTCTGGTGTCGTGATGTCTGTTGGTTTGCTGGATTATTCCTGCAGCTTTGGGATCTTCTCCATGGATAAATTCGCTTATATTTACCTCTATCTGCTGCTTTTTATTGTTAGTTCATGTGCGTGGCTTACCGCCAATCTGGCCTTCTTCTATTTCATTAAAATTTCCGAATTTGAGTCAGGTTTTCTTTCCTGGGTGAAAAAGCGTATTGCCTCTATTGTCCCATGGATGTTATTGGGGGATTTATTGGTGTCTCTGGTCAACAGTCTACTAAGCAGCTTGTTCATCATTTTCTCCAAGACACTTTCTTACAATACCACCGACGATTTTCCATCTATAGTCTCTATACTTTCTGAGTCAGGGACAACGTTTGTTAAAGCCGCAATCATTGATTCTATCCTCCCTTTCTTGCTGCTGATCACCACAACGTTTTTCACTGTTCTGACCCTAAGGAAGCACAGAAAGAGAATGAAGAACGTTCAAACATCTAACCGCGAGGGTCAGAGGTCCTACGAGAAAGTTGTTTGCCGGATGACGGAGTCCTTGTTTATCTACGGGATATTGTATGCTTCCATGATCATTTTCTATTTTACGGTCATCAAACAGATGGAGTCCGATTTTGGTTATTGCTTCCTGTTATAAACGCCTTCACTCCAGTGCAGTCCATCCTCCTTGTTCTCGCTAACCCCAGACTGAGGGCCACTTGGAAAGGAATTTTCTTGTGTGGTCACCTTCGAAAAATGTTAAACCCACTGGAAGCCATAAAAACTGACAATGGACTGAGTGACGGACAATACCAAATACATGGAAGTGATAAATAAATGTTTAAATATTATATGCTGTGCCAATTATTAAATGATAATATTAGGTGTCTATATCCACTTGAAGACCTCCTAACATACATATACGTTGCGGCTTTCAAGTGGTGCACCAGGATGATGCCTGCAGCTGCATCATCATCCCGGTATTGTTGTTTTTTTTTCCGGCAGCCAGCTTTTTTTTAAATGCCTTCCGAGCAGCTAAGTAACCACTGGATTGCTTTTACAGGCCACAGGAGTGCTCAACCCCTCCCCTCCCGCTGCCTGCCGGTGCCTCTCCAAGTTCTCACCCACATGGAAAAAAATATATTTCAAATATATTTTAAAAATATTCTTCCCAAATATATTGACATTAAATACTACAATTTTGGCCGTATTCAATACATTTCAAAATATAATTCAATATATATATTTTTATATATACTGCATGTTGAAATGCGTTTTTTATATATTACAAAATATATGAAAAATATTTTTTAAATATATATTGTGTAAATATATTCTTCAGATTTTTTTTAACATATAAAAAAAGTCATTTTAACATATATATGTACATATAATTGTAAATGTATTCCAAAAATGTAGATTAAATGTATTTTAAATGTATTGTATGTAAATGTTTTAAAGACATACAGTATATTTGAAAATGTATTTTTACAAATATTTTTCATATATTTTGTAATGCAAATGCATTTCAACATACAGTATATATATATATACATACACACATATATATATATATATATATATATATATATATATATATATTTGGAAACATGTTGAATATGGCCAAAATTGTAGTATTTCAAACAGGGGCGGACTGACAACTCATGGGGCCCCCGGCAATAGGGGATCATGGGGCCCCTGTGTCCTTGCCCAAACTCATAAAAGCCTATGAAAAAGGTATCAGGGGCATCTCATGGGGCCCCCTACTGACCCCGGCCCTCGGCAGTGCCCGAGTTTCCAAATGGTCAGTCCACCCCTGATTTCAAATATACGTCAAGATATTTGGGAAGAATACATGTTTTAAAATATATTTTTTTTCATGTGGGCCATTCCCCTGGAGAACCTGGAACTGAAGCCGGTGCTACCGTCGTCTTTCCGTAGAGCTTTTGAAGGATCGGAAGATCCCCAATAAGCTCAGTGGTATAGGAAAAGAGAAGAGCATTTTTTTCGTCACTTTCCAGTTTCCCGGGATGTAAACAGCGCCATTTTTAAAATAGGAAAGCATCTGATCACACCGATCATGGCGTGATCAGATGCATTTAGGGCAGAGGAGAGGTCTGGGGTCTAATAGATCCATAAAGAGTACCTGTCACTGCCTATTGCTGTCACAATGATTTTTATTTCTTGCAACAGCAATACAACTAAGTTAAAAAAATTTGTAAAAAAATAATGAAAAAAAAAAATTATACAAAAATGTTGAAAATCGGCCGTCGCAAAGACGAATGCACGAGTCGGTCCCGCACCCGTGCGTAAACGGCGATCTCACCACACATGAGGTATTGCCGCGAACTTCAGAGTGAGAGCAATAATTCTAGCACCAGAACTCCTCTGTAACTCTCCACTAGTAACCCGTAAAGGCTTTTAAACCATTGCCTATGGAAATTTTTAAATGTGTGAAGAAAAATGGTGCTGCGCTACTTATCCTAAAAGTGAATAAACAATACACATAAATAAAAACATAAACCCAAACATGGGGTTTATTTACTAAAGCTGGAGAGTGCAAAATCAGACTCCCTTCTGCATAGAAACCAATCAGCTTCCAGGTTTCATTCCCAAAGCTTCATTGAACAAGCTGAGGTTAGAAGCTGATTGGTTTCTATGCAGAAGGGAGTCTGATTTTGCACTCTCCAGCTTTAGTAAATAAACCCCTTTGTGTCTAAAAATCTGCACTACTAATACATAAATGAGTGAACAATCACATGAAGCCAAACATTGAAGGGAACAACCCACATAGAACCATGTAACTAATGAGCAAAGTAATATCCACAGGAGTGAATCCACAATATGTGTACCAAGTGGCAGTATGGATGGAAACGTGGCCATATAGTGAATGCAGAAAACATGGAGTGTTCAGTGGATAAATAGCATAAATATAATATATAGGAAAAACAAAATGCTGTCAATGGCGATAAAAAAAGTGGCATAAGAAAATGGAAACAAACGTGGCCAAATGGTGAATGCAGAAAAAACATCAATTGAAAATCTATGGGATAACCTGTAAAAAGCTGTGTTTTTAAGGCAAGAATTGCAAAAGATTTCTGGATCTACAAATATTTTACATTACTGAAAGTGTATATGAATGGAAATAAAATCTCAGGAATAATCAACTGTTGAATTTGAATGCCTTTTGGAGATTTTTTCCAATCTTTCCTTGGCTTCTTTATGCACATTAATACACAATGAAATACATAAGAATATATGAAAAAAAGGAGTGAAGCAAAATACGATCAATGACGATAAATAGGTGGAAAAAAAGACAAATAATCCCCCCAAAAAAACAGTCCCAAACAACACAAACGGTTAAATAAAACATTGTGTGTATCTTCAGCACAAAGCCATGAAAAATCAGTGACCACAGACAAACGGACGATCCTTCACCGCCTAGCGTGCGCACTCACCTTCAAACTGCGACCCGCAAGGAGTCACAAAGCATAAATGGAGGTAGATGATCCCCAACTGGATGGATCTCAATGGTGAGACAAACGAAGGCTCCTCTCCATCCCATATGGAAGAAAAATATATTTGAAATGCTACAATCTGATGTATATGGGGCTCCGGTGTGTGGGGGGGACTCTACTATGATAGGAGGCCTCTCTCTTGAAGGGGGAGTCTGATGTGAAAAAAAGGTTGAGAAATGTTGGTCTGGATGAATGATGACCTGACAACCCACCAACAAAAACAAGACGATCTGCGTGATGATCCCGCGACCGATCCTGCCCTTCGTAACTGACAACTCCCAGTCATGACCATACTTGGACAATGATGTCACTCGGGATACCTGTTGGCTTATGTACTATGTGAAAAAATGAAGGGTGCCGGCTGGGAAGTTACTCTTCTATTTGCTGTAGTGATATCACCACTAAATAAATGACTTAAAGCAGAGCTCCTCCCAAAAAAGGGAAGCACCTCTTGTTTGCACTCTCCACCCATCCACTGACACATTTGGCACTTTTTGGGCGGAAGCGGATACCTGGTCTTGATACGGTGAACTGAGCAAGAATTTCAGCCCCCTCCTTCCTCCAGGACACTTCACAACCATTCACAAGCAGCAGCACAACTCGCACATGTGCAGTAGGAAATCAGCTGAGGAACCACAAGGCTTCACTTCTGGTTTCCCTTACTTGCTATGCCAGCTCCGGGAACTTGGAGGCTAGTGAAGAACTAGCCCAGGTGAGGACAGCGCTGGACTCCTGGACAAGTAAGTATCCTTATATTAAAAGTCAGCAGCTACAGTATTTGTAACTGATGACTTTACATTTTTTGGGGAGGAGCCTGGGCGTCCTCTTTAAAGCTACAGTAGCCAGATGTTCAGGGCAAATAGACCAAACCTTGCCATTTTAGTATTTTGTCCAGAGAACCTCAAATAATTAGACTTCAAGTTGAACCTCCCATTGACACGAATGAGAAGCTCGCCCCTGCTTGTGGTAACAGATTAGGGAAAGCTCCATAAAGATGCTCTCTGACCAGTTTGGTGTGGAGGAACTCAAGTGACCTACACAGAGACCTGACCTCAGACCTACTGGATTCTAAATGAAAAGAATCGGAACCAGTTGTGAGAGAATTGTGAGCCAGTCGTTCTACTCCAACATCAGTACCTGGCTTGAAAAAACCTTCCCGGAGGAGTGAAGGTTGTAATAACCACAAAAGAGGGGAAGGGTAACCTCTACATGATCATAGTTCTCTGTGATGGGAAGTCCCCCAAGCTGATATTCACAAACTGCTCACCATATATAGGGAAATAAAAACATCAGCTCTATAAGGCCTTGTAGGGTTTTCTACAGATAAGGATTAGTTTGACTTGGGGAGTTGGTGGAATACCCAAAAGAAGGCTTTCTGTTAGCAACAATTCTCTAGCTGACTGTCCTGGGATGGACCCAGCAGACTAAAGTATCTTCTAGTCTAGTATATCTCCATTGTCCCCGGGCTCTATTGTCCTGCAACCAAAAAATCTTGAATTGAGTCTTTAATCTGGTACAGTGACCAAGACATTTAGTCCCAGAGGGCTTGGAGTCACCACAAGATCCCTGCGCGGATTAGAACCCCAAACTTCAATATTACCCTTTCAGGATCTTGCCCAAAGATTTATCAGAATCTTGCCCAACATGTTTATCAAAGATTGGTCAACCTATTGATGGCCAGCTCTTTAGGAAATGGCTGACTAACAAACATGAACCTCTGCTGAACCTCTAACACAACACTCTGGAGGACTCTACAGAATCTGGCAGATAATACAATGTGGAAACTCACAACTCAAACGATATTTCTAGAAAACAGCAAATTCAAATGGACATTAGGCAGGTTATAGAGAACCCACCTCTAGAGAATTTATTACAGAACAAGGTGAAAAAATAAAACCATTGGTGCTACATTCTGAAAACCTCTACATAAAAATACCCCCCCGCCAATAATACTCAGCTTTTCACTCTGTCCCAGTTATACGTTTCCATGGTCTCGTATTCCATTCATCTCACTATACAGATACAGACAGCCATGAAATCAAATCTGATGGGCATTTGCATGTTCCTCCTTTTCATCTCTCTCTGTACTAGATCAGTGGAATCATTTATTTCATCCATTGACTCTGATCTGCACAGCCTGACAGCCGCACCTCTCTGACAACAAACACGGCAAGAATGTGGTCAGTCGAAGATATCATTAGACTCGTCACTATTTTCTACAACTTGGTGTCAGGACTGACTTTGAATTCCTACATAATCATTGTGTATGTCCGGGAATGGAGGAAGAAAAAAGGTTTCAATGTGTCTGACAAAATTGTCCTCTTGTTGGCTCTCACTGGGATCACCTACCAATGTTCTTGCACTGCCGAAGGTCTGAGTTTCTATTTTGGGTACCACTTGTCACATGAAAGAAGACTTAATATTTATGTCCTTATTTTTCATTTTTTTTCTGATGAATGAGAACCTCTGGAACACGGCTTGGCTTTCCATCTATTACTGCCTGAAACTGGTCCAGTGTTCCCACCACGTTTTCCTTCAGTTTAAGAGAAGATTGTCTTCTTCTATTACACAGATACTCATCATCTCCTTGGTGGGATTATTCTTCATAACTCTTCCACTTCCTTGGACCTTACAATTACATTATGAAAACATAATCATAGATCCATCTGGAGTTAATTATACATATCCGTATATTCATATGGATGTCCATTACATTCCCCTCTATGTGATGCTTGGTTCTCTTCTCCCATTTCTTCTGAGCTTCATCTGCATTGGGCTCAGTGTGAGGTCTCTTCTAAGTCACGTCCAACAGATCCGTCAGAACTCATCTCAGTTCAGCTCATCTCCACAACTAGAAGGTCACCTCCAGCAGTCAGGACCATGATCCTTCAGGTTTGCCTTTGCTTGACTCTGTATCTGACTGTCTGTTACAATCTCATGTCCTCCATCAACACAGGAATCATTGTTAGAATCATGTTTTATACAATCTTTCTGAGTTACCCGTCTGTTCAAGCTGCCATCTCAATCCAGGGGAACCCCAAGTTAAGAAATAGATCCCCGACTCGTGATACGGCCGCACGCATCACATAGTATATCTATCTATCTATAGCCCGTTCCTAGACAGGGGCGGACTGACAACTTGTGGGGCCCCCGGCAATAGGAGATCATGGGGTCCCTGTGTCCTTGCCCAAACTCAAAAAGCCTATGAAAAAGGTACCAGGGGCAACTCATGGGGCCCCCTACTCACCCTGGGCCCTCGGGCAGTGCCCGAGTTTCCAATTGGTCAGTCCACCCCTGCTTCTTACATTACC